GAATATTGATCCCATCACAAGCATATCCGGCATTTCACGGTCCAGTTAATCCATAATATGGCTATATGTTTGCTGGGAATTTAGGAATTAGAACAATCAGCCCAAATTTGGCTGAACTGCATTTCTGAAATGAATCTCCAAGTCTAGTAATTTCGGGCAAATACTTTAGATAATTTGAAGCCTTTTTATTTGGCATCATCACTAATAACATTATATGAATGAAAATTGAACATTGGCAATGCTTCTCATAGAGAATCACTTAATTCAATTCTTCTCTTTGAAAGGAATTCAGTTGCTGAGCATGGCAATTACCATACGTGCACATATGACAACCATTGGAGAGGAGAAGAGTACATCAGGAAAGATCATCTCTGAAAACAAGGAGCAGCTGCAGCAGGAAGACTTCCAAGTGCTGGATAAATGTATTTTTTTAAAACAATTTATAAGCAGAGGAGACCGATAATTACATTTTTTTTCTGAGGAATTCTTTAACATTAAAAATGAATATTATACATATAATATGACATACAATGTTCTGACCTTGGTCAAAATAAACTGCAAGTTATACATAATAACCAATAAAAGAATTAAAAAGCCAAATGTTTATTCTAGTTCATCAAGATACACAAATGTTGTTATTTTTAAAGAAATTGTGTAAAAAACAGTGTATAAAATAGACTTAGTTTAGATACATAGAGTACTTATAAAAATAAACAAATCCGGAGACACTGGAGGTTTCCCTAAAAACGGAAAAGGATCCGGGCACATGATCTTTTTTGTGTTTTTGGTTACGTTTTGGTGAGTCTCATCACCCTGGTTTAGAGACATCTTGGTCTTCTCAATTTGTCATGTGCCACCTCAATACATAGTACTGGCTTTAGGTTGTACTGTCTGTTTCTACATATGGCCTGTTTTTAATAGGATTTTCTTAGGCATGTTGGTCACATTAAGCTTTTTTTTTATTTTTTTTATCTAGCAGTCATTTTTAACAAAACAAAACAGAAAGTGTAAATTTACTCTTGCAATTATATTTCAATTCCATAATTTTACAATAAACAAAAATAAAATAAAAAATAGTACGTGAAATTGAGTGAGTAAGGAGCCTTCAAAAACAGATCCAGTCAAAGTATAACAGGACAAAGTATGGAGTGGAAAGAGAAGAGCAGTAAAGGGAAAAGGTTGTACATTGAAGAATGGAGATTAGTGGATATGAAATATTACATATTGAGTTTTACTTTGCTTATAGAGGGGCTAAGTTTACCATACTCACATTAAATCTGCTTTTTCTGGTAACTGTAATATAACACACCTTTTATGGCTTTTTGACTAATATTAATAAATAAGTTGCAAACTTTTAACTGCTTTATTTGCAATTTTTGCACAGTGGGGAATGTTTCATTCTAACTTCTACTTGTGTTTTGTCTTTTATAATATTTTTCTTCTACTATTTTCGGATTTTTTTTTAACTTATATATAATTATTTTATATTATTATATGATTATTTATATTTATATTATTATAGTCATTTTGATTTTATTTTCAAGGTTAGAAGAGCGTACATATCAGAATTGCATTATTTATTTTGTATTTATTGTGTATTACGCCACTAACATTTGCTATTTTTCGAGGCCCCCGTGTCCTCTTATTATGACATAAAAATACAGAATATTAAAAAAAATGTTTTGCAATTAACTAAGTTTACCCAAATTACCCATGGGTAAATGCCATCTGGTATAAGAGCTAGGCTAATTAGACATGTATTCATTTGTTTTATGTCAGGAGCTACAGATTGATCTTTGGAACATAAGTTTGCTTTAAATCATCGTATAAATCTTTTGCTGTCAATGTATATAATTTTTTGCACTTTCCATAGAACGATTGACTGGATCTACCAATTTTTTGACATTTGCTTGGAGGTATAATTTGTTAATTGTGCTAAATGTTGCACTACCCATAATGTTCATTGTTCTCAGTTAGTAAATCTGCACACATTACCGGTATTACGTATATGTGTAAAACTTCATTTAGATTTTATAAATTAAATCTAAAGAACTAAAAATATTTTTAAAACTAAGTTTGTATTTAAATCATTTGCTATAACATAATTTGCCTTTCTGTCTGCACTATATGAAAACAAAGAAATATGAGTTAGAAAAATACATTAGAATTCTTTGACCAGCTTTGGTAAAAACCTCACAAGCAGTAGAGTTGTCATCTATTTTAAGTTATGGGTTGTGTATTACAAGAAGATAAACGGTTTCAATTTTGACATTCTGGACAATCAAATGTAATAGCAGCCTCGGACTCCAAACCAGTTCATAAAACAATATATTTTTAAAACGTAGGTAATACACTTAGCGCCAGTCTCCCTCCTGGGCATTATCACCATAATTGAGCATTGGCACACAGACACAAAGACAAATTGCTAACCGTATCTGTTAGCAGATCCTCACATATGAGAACGATTACATGTACAGAGTTGCAGGCCGGAGAGTGGAAAAATCTGCTATTTCTGCTGGTCTGCCCAATTACTTGGTAAATGTAGAATGTACAGTCATGGACGTCTGCAGGAATTTTTCCAGGATGGGGCATAATTGCATTGACATCCATGCTTGTCCCCTTTGTAACAGTGTCATGAAGGGGAGGGGCATAGTCATTATTTCATAAAGCCAGAGTGACCAGATTTTGGAAATAAAAAACCGGGACACCCATTAGGCAAGGAGGCGAAGTAGGGCAAACCATGGAGAGATTGGCGTGATGCTGGAAATAAGGTGAGTAAAAACACCTTTTTAACAGGGGGTGGGAGGAGGGGGTGGAGAAGGGGGAGGATACGTAAATAGCTTTTTCACAACTATGGTGTCAGAAATACATGTATGTATTCCTGACACTATAGTGTTCCTTTAAGCAAATTAAAGGAACTTTATGGTGACCATAACAACTTCATCTAAATGAAAATGCTATGATGCCAGGAAGCCCTTGGATGCTCTCTTTCCTTTAAGGGGTTAAACCGCTCTCAAATGGTTTAACCCCAAAGGCTTCCTTCAGCTCCAGATCTCCAGGTCACTCAGTGGTATTCGGATTCTAAAACAGAGTCTCAGGAAGTACAGATTGACATTAGACATGGGTGTCGCTGATTGACTAGAGTGGTCAGCTAAAACACTCTAAGCCAATCGCTAGTTCCCGGTTCATAAAAATGTTTAAAAACAAATATGAATACCGCACTCAAAAAAGATGATTCTTGTGAAATCTAAACTGTATTAAATTGCAAGAATATTTATTATAATAGTAATTCATAGGTTAATCAAGTAAACCTTAGTGAAGTTCATTCCAATCATATATATACATCGATTATTTACATATATACACACAAAAAACCTCCCTGTGCTGAATTTCATGAACTATATATCTATATACATAGGTTGTGGATCCAAAAAATGCATGAAAATAAAATGTCCAGAAAAATATAGTAAAAAAAGAAAAAAAGGCAGAAAAAAAGCTAAAAAGCAAAAAAGAAAAAAAGAAAAAAGAAAAAAAGAAGAAAAAATGAATGAAAAAAATGTATATATTTTCCAGTCCTATTGATAGTCCAAAATATAGTGCACTATATACTTCATATAATTCATAAATTTATAGATGGATCTCACGTGAACTTGATAGTATATTCAGTAAGAGGGTGGTAGATCTTGTAGATGATGTATATTGAATCAAAGTGAAGATGGGTGAAAATGAGTTGTAGCTCAATATTATAATAAATATTCTTGCAATTTAATACAGTTTAGATTTCACAAGAATCATCTTTTTTGAGTGCGGTATTCATATTTGTTTTTGGATTTAGATTAGGAGGTTGTCGTGGGGTTAAACCTCGAATACCTGCACCTTGCATAATTGAGTGCCAACACTTATTGTGTTTTTTGTATATTGTTTTCCCTAGTGTGGAGCACCGTTATGCGACAATTCTTCATTATATAAGAATATTGTGTTGAGATTATTAGTATATCAAATTGCCAGTTTATTGCATTATTTTTTCATCTATACACAGTTGACTTTATGGCAACATTTGCCTATACAGAGGGTGATATCAATCGTATCACATCGGCCCTTAGAGGAGCTAGGGAATTTTTAACTAATGAGAGTGAACGCGGAATAGCTCACAAACTTGAGAGAGATTTAAAAAGAAAAATAAGTTGGGAACTACATATAAATACCCTAGGAGAATACCTTAGACAAAAAAGAATTCCAAGGGGTTTGAGAGTTAGATTACATCCCACATTATGTAGAGACAATGTTGAACACCGGACAATATGGTACAAAATTTTGAATAAATGCTCAGTGGACCTCATGGTACTAACTATAGAATCTCTACAGAAAGAATTAACTAAACTTATTAAAGAGATAGCAGCAACGGAACAAGAACTAGCAGCAGTCACTGCATCAACTGACTTAGAGACACTCAAAAAACAAATAGAAGATAAATTAAAAGAGTATCAGAGAGAAACGGAAGAATTCAAAAAGAAAAAATTCCATAGAGACGAATTAGATTATCAAAGGGATCAAGTTTACACCTGGTACTCTACAGCGGACAATCGTTCGTATAGACCCAACAGAGATACAACTACACAGAGATGGCGCTCGGATACAGAGGGGGCTACATCCTCCTCCTCTGCCTCCTCGTCTTCAGGGATGACTTTTTTAGAGAGAGGTACACGACACGAAGAAGCATCAGGCGGGGGGGTTACAACAAGAGGCACTCGGGAGAAAAGACAAGGCCGACCGCCCCAATCGAGACGCAATCTCTAATACACAACATTTCAGGTAGGCCCTTAACACCTACGGAGGAGGGGACCCTGAATAAGGGACTCTCCTTCATTCCCACACCCCATATAGAGTGGCATCAATATGACGTCAGTTTGTATAAATTTTTTCGCCAACTTAAATTACGTGCATTCTTTTCAACAGATCAGCAAAGTTATGGTATAACAGCAGAATCTACTGACAATACTATGCAGACCACACAGGGACATCCTCAGGATGAAGGAAATATGGAGGCTGTGGGACATTATGCTACCGGGTCTGACCCATACACCATTCTCTCCCTGGATACAGGTTTGAAACCTAAAAGCACTTTCACACCACATAACATCAATACATCCATTGATTTATTCACCAATCTTGTGAAGAAAGATATGTGTAAACTTAGGAAAAAACATCAATACACCCATAGTTATCATGGAAAAAGTATTAATTTTACCAAACAAGATTGGTTGAATATCAATAACTTAAAGAAAGACACATCCATCATTATCAAACCGGCAGATAAAGGGGGAGCACTGGTGATTATGGATCGTACATACTATGTAAAAGAAATTGAGACCCAGTTATTGGATAACACAAATTACTTACCTATCAGTCAAGACCCTACACACAATCTGAAACGCACACTAGATAAACTGAACTTATGGGCCCTTTCTAAAAATATTATCTCTGATGGAGAATATAAGTACATGAACTTCAAATACCCAAGAATTCCGGTGTTCTATACCCTCCCCAAAATACATAAGAATCCCCTTTTTCCACCAGGCAGACCAATAGTCAGTGGAACTGGGTCTATATTCCAACATCCAGCAGAAATACTGGATAAATTTTTGATCAAATATGTCCCAATGCAGAAATCATACCTCAAAGATACTACTACATTCCTCACATTACTAGCAGATATACATATCCCACCAGGAGACTTTTGGTTGGTAACTATGGATGTACAGTCATTATACACTTCAATTGACCATAATAGAGGAATTGAGGCAGTAGATTGGACATTGGATAGAGACCCGAGATTAATCCAACAAGAAGAGACCCGAAAATATATTAGGGAATTACTTACTTTCATTTTGACTGAGAATTACTTTCTGTTTGGTGATAAGTATTACAAACAGATCAAGGGTACCGCTATGGGCTCGAATGTCGCTCCAACATATGCTAACATTTATATGAATCGAATGGAGGAAACATGCATCTACGAACATCCCTTATTTTCCAAATGCCTAGTCTGGAAAAGATACATAGATGACGTGTTCATATGTTGGAGCGGCACTAGGGCCCAGTTACAGGAATTTTTTGAGTCACTAAACACACAAGATGAAAACATTAAATTTACTATGTGCTGTGATACTACTACAGTCCCTTTTTTAGACGTTCAGGTACAGAGAGTACAAAATTGTCTTCACAGTGACCTGTACATAAAACCTACTGACCGTAACAATTTACTGACCTACTCAAGCTTCCATCCTATCCATCTAAAGAATGGATTACCATTTAGTCAATTATTAAGGGTAAAAAGGATTGTATCACAGGAAGATAAAGTTATGACGGGTTTAGATTTTATGGCCAATAAATTCATAGAACGGGGCTATCCCACACATGTAGTTGACAATCAACGACAGAAGGTTGATAATCTCTCTCGACAAGAAACCCTTTCAGGTGCAGGGGCCAGAGACAAAGTGGAAAGGATTACGTTGGTAACACCATATACCCCACTTAATAAGGAGATGAGGCATGTTATATTAAAACATTGGCAACTGTTTCAGGGGGATACCCAATTACCCCCGATATTCCAACAGTCTCCCCTTTTTGCATACCAGAGGGCCTCGAACCTGAGGGATATGATAGTAAGATCAGATATTGGTAGTTCGAAGAAACAAACTAGATTCTTTTCAGAACCTAAGAAGGGCACTTTTCCATGTTTAAATTGCTCACACTGTAACAGTGTGATCAAGGGGGAATATTTTGTACATCCCAGATCAGGTAAGAAATTTTATGTTAAAGAGTTTTTTACATGCAACTCCGACTTTGTTGTGTATGCTCTCAAGTGTCCCTGTGGACTCCTGTATGTGGGGGAGACCATCAGGCCAGTGAAAGAGCGGATAGGGGAGCACAAAAGGAGCATTAGGGCAGCATTACAACACAATAAAGTGGAGGCTCCGGTACCCAGACATTTTAAAGCATATGGTCATAACGTAAACCAGTTAAGGTTTCAAGTCTTGGACAGAATTCCACCTCTACGCAGAGGAGGGGATAGACAGAAACAAAATGGATAAGTACCTTGGAGACTTTGTCACCATTAGGGCTTAATGAAGATTATGACCTTAAACATTTTTTGTGAGAAGTTTTTTCTTCATTTTTGCATTTATTGTCTGCTCTATGATTTTCTGCTCCTTACAGAGGCTCCCCTTGACCAGTTTTGGTCCGATGTTCTTCCCTGCCAACATTTTGACCGCTTTGGGTCCGCTACCTGCCATCAGCACAGGGTTCCCCACATACGGGACCCAGGGGCACGGTGGGGCAATACGAGACAGGTGAGTTGCACACTCTGTATTTTTAGTTTTATTTTTCAATTTTCTTTCCATTTTTCTCAAATTTTGCTACAACAAAAAACTTTTTAATGAGGATCATTTTTCATTTAACACATTTTTTCTATATCATTTTTCATTTTTTGTTTGTTCTTTGTACTTTTTTTCTCTTTTCTTTTTTCTTTTTACTTATTTGGAATCTTTTGAACATTGTTTTCTATTGTTGCAATAGATATAGACAATCCATCTTTTATTATTTTTTCTTTTTCTCAGCTGACTATTCTACTGATCTATAGTTACAGATATTCCTGTTCTCTTGATCATCTGTTGCAGGTGAACTATGTAATAATCACACATTAGTTAGGCTTTTAAATATATTTAATTACTATTTTCTGTTTCTTTTCTCTTGAGTATATTTTGTCTTTCAGGTTTAAGACTGCTTTAGATTCGAGCACTATTTAGTTTGCATAAACAATTCCATTGCCTTTTTAATCATATGTATCACATAGTTACTTATGTCTATGTGAGATTTCCCTTTAATTTTGTCATTATACAATATGTATGTGAACAATAAAGTTTAATTGAATGCGTATGACGTAGCGACGCACGCTGACGTCAGTAGGCGGAAGTAACAGCAAGGAGTGGCCGCGGCGTTTTTTTGCCGCCTAATGAGGATATTTAAGTGATATGCTTATACTTTGGCAGGACGGAGAGGAACAGGGGCCTTTGAAGGGACAGGAACGTCCCGAGCGCGCAGCCCATTTCAGCCCGATTCACAGGACTACCCACGATTTCGAACTCAGGAAAAGACCTGCTAGACTGACCAGATACTACAAAAAGGAACGAGTGATTACTTTCTCATTGAGCTACAACTCATTTTCACCCATCTTCACTTTGATTCAATATACATCATCTACAAGATCTACCACCCTCTTACTGAATATACTATCAAGTTCACGTGAGATCCATCTATAAATTTATGACCATAAGTGAAGCATATAAAAAATTATATTTTGACTATCAATAGAATCTAGGCCATATACATTTTTTCTATCTATTTTTTTTCTTTTTTTCTTTTTTCTTTTTTTCTTTTTTGCTTTTTAGCTTTTTTTCTGCCTTTTTTTCTTTTTTTACTATATTTTTCTGGACATTTTATTTTCATGCATTTTTTGGATCCACAACCTATGTATATAGATATATAGTTCATGAAATTCAGCACAGGGAGGTTTTTTGTGTGTATATATGTAAATAATCGATGTATATATATGATTGGAATGAACTTCACTAAGGTTTACTTGATTAACCTATGAATTACTATTATAATAAATATTCTTGCAATTTAATACAGTTTAGATTTCACAAGAATCATCTTTTTTGAGTGCGGTATTCATATTTGTTTTTGGATTTAGATTAGGAGGTTGTCGTGGGGTTAAACCTCGAATACCTGCACCTTGCATAATTGAGTGCCAACACTTATTGTGTTTTTCATAAAAATGTTTAACTTTTTTATGAATGGGGAGCTACTGATTGACTTAGAGTGCCAGCTGACAACTTTAGCCAATCAGAGGCACCCCTACCCAGCGGTACTCTGTGCTTCCTGACACTCAGTAAATAAAAGTGAACACATTAACACTGATATTTTTTTACCTGGGGAGATGAGAAGGTCCAAAGTTTCCCTGTCAGGCCCAAGTACCAAAGCCTTATGATGTGGTGTCCAGATTGAAAGAATTAAGTGGATCGCTTCAATTGTCCTTCCTGTTCCAATCTCCTGCTTTTCTCCATTTCACACAGTCTTATTTTTCATCTGACACTGTCTTTTCTCCTCTTTGGCTCCTTCTGCTCCTTTGCCTTTCTGCTACTTTCTGCTTCTTTTGCACCCTTCTGCTCCATTCTCTTTCTGACCCTTTCTGCTCCTTGCAGACCCATTTTGCTCCTTGCTGACCCTTCTTGCTTCTTGCTGACCCTTCCTGCTCATTTCTGTTCCTTTATGCTACTTTACCTTTGTGCTCCTTCTGCCCCTTCCAACTCCTTGCTGCCCCTTTCTGCTCCTTGCTGTCCCTTCCTGTTCCTTTCTGCTCCTTCTCTTACTTTACCTTTGTTCTCCTTCTGTCCCTTTCTGCTCCTTGCTGCCCCTTTCTTCTCATTGCTGACACTTGCTGACCCTTTCTGCTCCTTGCTGTCCCTTCCTGTTCCTTTCTGCTCCTTCTCCTACTTTACCTTTGTGCTCCTTCTGTCCCTTCCTGCTCCTTGCTGCTACTTGCAGACCATTTCTTCTTCTTGCTGCCCCCTCTTTCTCCTTGCTGCTTGTGACGGATTCCCTATCCCTGGATTACATGCTGTAAATTTTTTGTTTTATTTACTACCCTGTATAGTTCGGTATACAAACTCACCGAACACCTGAGACCTATCTATTTTGATACCGAACGAACTACCGAACAGCGAGACCACCCAGGGCAGGCGTGTCATTGACCCTTGGAAACCATGGAACTCAAGTCGGGCACTCGACGGCGTGAACACCGCTAGAACTTCCTCCTCCATAGAAGTTCAGTAAAATACGTGAGAACTGAATGGCGTTTAGTGGCGCAAGCTCCCGAACAAGTAATAAAGATTGATTGTACTCCCGAACCGTTACCGTCACTTCATTTAAGGAGCAGCAAGATGTAGCTTCCTATCCCTGCCTCTATCCACACACCCATCCCTCACTTACCTGATCTCCAGGCTGTCTGCCCATCCCTCACTTACCTGATCTATAGGCTTTCTCCACATTCCTCACTTACCTGATCTATAGACTGTCTCATAGAAACATAGAAACATAGAATTTGATGGCAGATAAGAACTAAATGCTTTTAATTAGTCCCTGTCCTTATCTTAAGTCTAGGATAGCCTTATGCCTATCCCACACATACTTAAACTCCCTCACTGTGTTAACCTCTACCACTTCAGCTTGAAGGCTATTCCATGCATCCACTACCCTCTCAGTAAAGTAATACTTCCTGAGATTATTTTTAAACCTTTGCCCCTCTAATTTAAGACCATGTCCTCTTGTTGTGGTAGTTCTCCTTCTTTTAAATATAGTCTCCTCCTATACTGTGTTTGTAAAGGATCCTTCTATTCGTGCAGCGATGATCCTTGCAGCTTCTCCCGAAATCCAGCTGAAACGAAGTGATTATAACTCCCAATCCCCCAAACATGAGTCGAGACTTCATGAAGGGGTAAAACGATCTGATTTACTGTGGGCTACCCGCCCGGTATTTATGCAGGTCTCCCACCTGGTGGACACTACCCTAGGGGACCAGATGGAAGACTGGGACAAAAGTAACACAGTAGCCAATCACAGTGGCTATAGCATAAGCACTCCCCTTTTACATAAATCACTCCCTCTTTTCCATCCTGGAGATAATTAACTTAAGGTAGCAAAGAAAGCCTTAATTATCTCCAGGAAGAAAGAAACATGGCTTTCTTATTTCAGCAAAACAGAATAAAAATATATAACTTTCGTTTTACACAACATAAACTTTAAGTTCCACATATCCCCAGATAGCTTGGATCTGAGTGCATATTCTAGGCGAATAGC